TCTCGGCGCCACTAAAAATAGCACGGAAAGCATGAGTTGGGAAAAAGGTCTCGGTCTAGCATGATAGTCAATCTGCAACACTACTACTCTACTACTAACCACTAGTCCAGAAGGCCCAAAACCTCAACATCTCTGCTATGGACGAGAACCAGTTATTATTATGACGGACAACTCCCGGTTGTAAGGAGGCAAGTGCGACTTAAGTGCAAACCCTCCCGGCGAACTGCGCATGCGCTGTTTGTACCACTAATGCATGGGCTAGGCTTTTGGAATTAACCCGCGGTCTCCCGCTAGTAGCTCGCGGAGAGTCTGACAACGGGCTAGCTACGGTAGTAGATAGCATGCGGGAGTCATACATGCCCTTACGCTGTGGCATCTGTGCCACTAAGGTACACAGAGCAAGTGGGTCAGGTCGAAGGTGAGAACGCGACAGGCCGTACCACTTTTGCCGGGACTCGCCACCAACCTAACTCATGCCTAGTGTAGGAACCTAGCTGATCTTTACGGAGCTAGGGCCGTGTGCCGTCGCGCAGCTTTCACCACCACCCCAATTTGTACACGCGCCATGAGTAACAGAGGCTGTACACTTGCTTGAACCTTCCGACCGCCCCTGGCACGACTTATTGATTGGTTGGGCCATGCAACGCGGTCCGCGACCATGCAGTTTGTCGCTCTTGACAGCGTCGTTTCAGGAAAATCGTCCTTTTATATTTCAGGCTCGTGTAGCCCTGAGCTGCTGGTATCGCTAATGGGCCGCCTCGAGCCTGTATAGTGCTAGAATAGGCGTCGACACACAGACACACACAGACAGACAAATCAACGACTGTTACCCTCGCTGCGCATGCGCACCGAGGTTAATCATTAAACGTACAAACGTACAGACATTAGGTGTAGATACATCACCAACCAATCTCTAACTACTTAAACATCACTTTGGAGCCATCGCGTTAAACCAGCCATGAAATTCCCACTTGTACGTCTGTGCGAAATCACCAAGGGAATGTTCATACAACAGATCTACAGCCACTATAGCATTATTTGCTGCACTTTCCTCAAGAGAATTTCAACTACCTACACATACTCCATGTACGCAGGTCGGCATGATCTGTTAGTTTGCATGAGGCAGGTGATTTTACTGCTACAAGAGGCTAGGTACAAGACCAGGAACTCATACTGATGACTAACCCGATTGACAGTCTGGATATCAGCTCCACTGTTGAGTAGAGATGCAACCATCATCAGATCTCCTTCTTCAACAGCTCTGATCAGCTCATCATTCCGCACAGAATGAAAAGCAATCTGTCACCAACGAACATAACTAACTCTCAATCAGTGTGCAACATATTTTTTTGGTAATTGTACATTCACAAAAACGTCCTAAATAAAATGCACAAAGTACACGTCTACATACCATGTGTCTGTGGTCCGGTAGGAGGGTGAGTTGGCTGCCATCCACAGTCACCTCTGATAGATGGTGGGTGGTCATGAAGTGGGGGGTCAGAGCTGCTAGCACCCAGCCCACCACACTGGGAGGAAACCTCACCACCACCTCCACACACTTGTTGGCCACTCCACCGAGGTAAACACTGTGAGAGCTAAGACCTGAATTGGTGATGATTGATTCACTTAGCTTTCGAAGGTCATAGAGCGTACACTCAGACGCAGGCTTTTCGATCCTCAAGACCATTTGTGTGAATGCTTTCTTCATTTCTTCATCTGTTTCTTCTGGTACAGCAGTGATATAGACGTCGACTGGTGTTAACATTTCGAACTTCATGAGCATCTTGCAGTATTCCTGCATGCTCTGTCGCAGTGGAGCAACATTGAACCAGGTGATGATCTCTTGCAGTATCTCGTAGTTTCGAAAACTCCAGTAGCGACTCAGGATGGCAAACAGTTTTCGAATGTTCCTTGCCTCGAGAATGTCGTCTTCATTTTCACGGAAAAACATGAGCAGCCTTCTTGGCGACCGGGAGGACAAGAAGATAATCACGGAACTCGTCTAGAAACTCATGTTCCTGGCTCTCCCTGGCACACATCACTGATCTGGTACGAGATATCAGCTTGGAGAAGGTCTTCTTGAGGTGAAGAATGGCAGACTTTACATCAGCCACACTCCTGAGAGCCACAGGCTGGCAGCGATCACTAGGAGGTGGGGAGGTGGGCTGGTTGGGATCAGTTGAAGGAGGAGGAAGAGAGGGGGCAGCAGGAGCTGGTGTGGCCACAGACCGGATTGTGGCAGGCTGGTGATCACCAGTGGAAGGACTGGCAGCTCCAGGTGGCTGGAGACAATGCTCGGAGGCCACTTGCAATGCAAGACTGTTCATCTTCATGCGTTGGAGGCCAGAGACTAACTTTCCCCAGCTGGCCTGGGTGTCTTGGTCCAGCCAGGCCTGGATGGTTAGCATCTTACGACTGCTGCCTTTGTGCTCATTCTCAATGTCCTGAACAGTTTTGAGCTCAACTCCGAAACGAACCACAAGTTCTTTGGTCTGTTCAAGGGTGAGTCCGTCAAGAGCAGCCACGACGTCTTTGAGCAACATTTTAGAAGAGGCAGCCATTCTCCTAGAGTAGAGCAAAGATGTATTTACAAGAGGTGGACACCGTGAAGCAGCTCACAAGGCAGCTACAATGAAAGAGCTCGGAGATGCTTAATTTTTGCCGCAAGCGCAAACTTCACTTATAATTTTCGGCGGCGATCTGTCACCTCGCTCAGTGGTTGAACCTAGTGTGATACAACTGGTGCTGTGTGCCTCTGAGACCTGGTATCTACAGATGCTCCCCTGGATGAACTATAATGATTCAGTGGATGGAGTTTTATTAGACGATGTTAGTTGGGCGCATGTGCATGTGTGGATGAAAACTGTAGTGACACGTCCTGTTCCTATTGCCTGCTAGACCTGCTTACACTCGGTGTTTGCACAGAAAGGGTTATTGTATATACCAGCTGGTCCATGAGTGTTTCTGTCTGTTACAACATTTTCTGCAACACAACGGAAGAAATCGGCCAAATAGCGACATTAAGGGGTTCATTGTTACACAGGCCTGATGTCGAATCTCACGATCCCTAAAACACTACTTTGCCTCTCAGACACTCAGAGAGTAAACTAGTTAAAAGAGCTTGACATCAGGAAATCGACAATGCAGCCCAGCCCAGCAATTACTGGTACCGCTGACCTGTGCATGCGTATGAGTGTAACCCATACATCTGAGCGTGTCTAGTGTGCCGAGGGTTTTCACTTTCAGCAGGCAATACCTAATAATGGACAGACCGAGCTCATGCAATGCAGAGTTTCTGAGAAATGGACCTCAGGTGGCAAGATTTGAAGTACTGCCAAGGGGACAGTCAGCACACTGTACTTCTGGACTGGAGGAGCTAGGCAACTACGTAGCGTTTCCCCATCTCTTTCTCTTCTGGTAGATTTCTTCGCTGTCTTTCCTTTATCTTTATCCTTCGGATGTGGCCTTCATGCCTGGGTGTGTCGTGTGGACGTAGGAAATTGGTTACCCCAAGCCATTGTAAATATATAAATGTAGGCATGCTTGCTGAGGACAAGGCACACTGTCCAAGTTTGTCTAGTCGTAAAACACACGTTAACTCCCTGCATGATAGCAACTAATTAAGCCTATCATCGGATGAGGGTCGACGACATGCGACGAGAAGAACCAGCCGAGGATTGTAATTGCGGCAACATAAAAACCCTCTGCATTAAAAGACAAGGTAAACTCGCTTCGCTCTCCAGTTGTGCAGATTTTGAAGGTGACAGCGGCAAAAATACAATTCCCTAATTCTCCAGACTCTCAAAACTTGCGGTATGAGGTTAGAAACTAACGCATATACCTTAGCTGGAATGCCATCGTAAAAATCATAACTTCAAGAGACTGAGGTGGTCTTAAGTTAAGTCTGCACATGCTCACTCCGTGTGCGGCCCCACAATACATGAGTGGACCGGAGAGAGGGTCTGGGGGATAGACTAGTGGGGTGAAGAACAGGCAAACTTATCATCTTGAAAACTTACTATTAGCAAGAAAGTAGGAGTAAAGACAGGCCAACTGACCTTCCCGAAGACATTAACAATAGTTGGAGAGTGCAGTTGAAACAATCCAAGGAAGCAATAGCGAAAAATGAGGTGGCTTTAACTTTCGTACTTTTAGTAAGCAAGTGGGGTGAAGGACAGGCCAACCTGTACGATCCTGACAATAGCTGGAGAGTGCACTGCAAATAATCCTAGGGAGTGACTGTGGAAAATTGGGTGGGCTAAATGTTTCGTACTTTTAGCAAACAAGTACGTAAAAAGGCAGGCGAACTAACCTTCCTGATTACATTGACGGTCGCTGGAGAGTGCAGCGAAAAAAGGTGGCCCTAACTTTGCATGGACGTTGGGTGAGGACAGGCAAAGATACACACCATGATGAAAAGCACACGTAATAATCATAACTTCAACAGAATGAGGTGGTCTTAAGTTTTATATTTTTAGCAAGCAAATGGGGATGCAGACCGGCCCACATGTGCATGAGCGTGCATATGGAGGGTCTACCCAAACCTGCACTTGATTGTAGAATGTTGGAATTTCATTACTACGTGCGTTGTTTACATAAACTAGGCATACCTTGTATACAATGGTAGTACAGTGAACCATGAATAACATTGGACAGATTTGCTCCAATGTTATTCATGGGAAATACAATGGAAAAGGCAATGAGTGCAGGTTTGGCTAGACCCTCTCTCTCCGTTCGCGGCCTCACTGCACATGCTCTCTGCGTGTGCAGCCCCACAATGCATGCGTGGACCGGAGAGAGGGTCTGCGGGATAGACTAGTGGGGTGAAGAACAGGCAAACTTACCATCTTGAATACTTACTATTAGCAAGAGTAAAGACAGGCCAACTGAACATATTAACAATAGTTGTAGAGTGCCGTTCAAAAAAATC